AAAACTAAAACTGTGGCGGAGCAGGACTGTGATTGGGACTAGCCTCTGTCTGTGTTTACGTAGCGGCGCTACCTGTTGTGCTAACACTAAGTATCTTAATGACAACACAATACATATGAATGAAGTTGACTTTAATTACGGGGGCTTGCGTTCTGGAAAGTTTTATTATATGTATGATTTTTCAGTCAATTTGATTGTACATCCACTTGTCTTCTTGTACCAAAATGTGCATGTGTTTTAAATTTTTACAGGTACTAGTAAGTGTTATGTCAGGCGCATATGCCTCATTTCCTCCAGAGCAAAACCCTCACCCAGACCACAACTGGACTTCACCTAGGTCAAATGCAGGATGCTCTCATATAACATACTACACATCTGATGAACAACAAGATTTATGTCTTTTTCATTTTAAGTGGGCTAAATTACTTATATTAAAAGTACTCTAATGGAAATTACTGCTTTAATTTAATTATTTTAATAATCCATGTAACTCGATAAGCTCCAGGTTTTGAAAAAGTGTACTGTCCTCCTTCACAGAAAAGGTTACTTTTCATTAACTTTTAAAGGGCTTTGAACATACATTTTAAATTTCCTAAACATTTCCAGGTCTTTGGTTACTGTACACACCTTGTAAACGGGATAAAAACCTATTGTCACACAGTTGGCAATTTTGTACATATATAAACAAAATATTAATAAATCAGGAAAACATATTTTCCGTCAGTGACCTCACGATTCCTTTCGTAAGTCGTCAGTTAGTTTCTTTGAAGCACCGCGGCGGGCGTCATTTTATAACATATTCTAATCTTGTACATTAGTGACACAAAGTTAGCCTTTATTTAAAATGCATTCTCCTCTGTGGTGCATTAATCTAGAACACGTGTACGTGTCAGGGACACAGAGTGCAAAAATAAGTCAAAGCAAATGTTTTTTTTTTCCTTTTTTACTTCCTAATAAACATGTCACCAAGTAATTAGTTTCGATCCTGTCTGTGTTCCTTAAAAGACAGCATTACATAAATTTCTGCCTCCTCCCCCCATCTCTCTCTCTCACACACACACTCTCTTTTTCACACATATTGTGGAAGCACAGTGTCAGCCACTCTCTCCTTTCTCTAGTACAGTACACAGAGAAGTATTTGTACAGCTCTGCAGGTTAAGAGTATCTCCTTTTGCTCCATCAGTCATGTGTCTCCTGAAGTGATCATATGGTAAAAGGGTTTTAAATCTGACCTGCTCGCTGTTTCAGTTTTTCACCTGCTCAGATAAAAACTGACAAAAATCATGTCCTCTCTTTAAAAAGTGTTTCGACCTCAGTATCTGCCACAACAAGAAACTGAAATAAAACTTTAAAGTATATATATATATATATATATATATTTTAAACAGTCCTATCACCTGGTCCCTCACTGTACTGTTGTTCTTTTTTCTTCTTTCAGACCATTCAAACTGTCCTGTGAGATTTTCTGCACTACATGCTTTTCCAGTTATGGTTAAAAACATAGTGTATACACTTAAAAAATAATTAAATTAAATCAATTGGCCATACTTTCGTTCCTGTTCCGCTGCTGCTGAGGTTCCTGAGTGGCCTAATTCTCCAGCCTGAGCTGTGGTTATCTGTCCCACGCTGTTTCTCTCACAGCTCTCAGTACGTCTCTGAGTCCGAGTCATTCATCTCTTCGTCCGCGGAGATGGAGCACAGCGGGCGCTGAGGCCTGCAGTAGGAGGCGTGGTCAGGTCTCAGGGGGGGCAGAGCATCGAAGGCTACCCCTTTGGAGATGTGGTTGGAGTTCAGGTGGTGGTTGATGACTGTGTGAGGTAAAGAAAAGGCAGGTAATGCCGCTATGGTGACCATGGGCGAGGTGGGCATCATGGAGTTGAGGATGAGGGCCAGGCAGTCGGCCACATCACGGTTGGGGGTGCAGGCCAGAGCTGGAGTGTAACCTGAAAAAATGTATAAAAAGTGTTCTATCACTGTGTGTGTGATCAGTGTGTGTGTGTGAACTAACAGCTAACCATTCTCATCCACTGCTAACACACTGGCTCCTTTCCTCAGCAGCTCCTGGACCACCACCGTCAGTCCTTTACTGGCCGCCACATGCAGAGGCCTATGGGACAGAAACCAGACCAAGAATGTTAATCAACAGGACTGACAGGAAAAAAAAAAGATCTGGAGGAACACGTTTGGTGAGTGTAAAATACAAAATAAAAATGCCTTGAAGTGTACGGCTTGAATAAATGAATACATTTAGCCACAGGTTGGATGTCATTGCAGCTTATTCCAGAAGAGGGTGCTATTGGCCAACATAACGTTAGTTCTCTTACTGTAGTGTAATGGTTCTCAAACATCCCCCCTTGTCACTTTTTCAAAATTGACAATTGAATTGAACACTGTAATTTCTGAATGGATAAAAGGTGTTAATTGTTGTCGCATTCAGTTGTTACATTTACCAGTCAGAATATAAAGAAGCTGACTCCAGAGAAAGGCCTGGGTCAGTTATCGTCATCATTGCCCAGAGTACATGCCTGGACTAAGCTGAAGTGAGTCACGTTGCCTACATCTCAGAGAATACGTACGTCTGCAGAGCAGTGTTGGTGCAGTTGATAAGATTCTTGTCATTGATTTTCTCCAGAATCAACAAGGCACTCGTCTCATGACCCTGGGCAGGAAGAAGCCACGACAGACAGTGAGACATTGAATATGGTTAACACCCATGATCCACTGAGGCCAGGCTCGTCACCTTGCTGCAGGCCAGGTGTAGTGCTGTGTTCCTGTGTGTGTCCTGTAGCACTAAATCAGCTTTACCACTGCTCATCAGCACTTCTACAGAACATAAAAGGACACAGTTAGAGAAAAAAAAAAAATCAAACGTTGACAACGCCTCAGTAAGTTAGTGAGGTCACTAACCCACAGCATTGGTCTGTCCGTTTAGAGCTGCCATCATCAGCGGCGTCCTGTGCGCGTGGTTGTCCACTACGTTCACCTGAGCCCCGTGGCTCAGGAGGAGGGACACACACTCGACGTGGTCGGAGAAAGCTGCAGCATGAAGCGCGGTCCTGTATTTGTACAAACACAGGTGACGTCATCAGTCACGCTCGTCAACATCACAGGAACGAAACCTCAGGTGTATCTCTTACCTGCCCTTACAGTCAGTGTCGTTGACTATCGCTGTGCCCAGGGAGTCGATTAACATTTCAGCCACACTGTCATTGTCGTTCATACTGAAACACAACAGTTTGACATGAAGGTGAGGCCTCCACAAACACATGCTGGACATTTTTAAATATTTCTCACAGTTTGTGTAAATAAGTGTGTTGATTTCTATCTTAAGAGTTTTAAAAAGTATTAATAAACAAAATTATCTGTAAGAAAAATAAATGTCTTCCTCTCTCTAACCCACATCTACACTTCAGCTTCTTTCCACATTCAAACTGAATGGAGAACGGTGTCTTACACGGCACAGTGGAGTGGACTGAATGAGTTGCCCTTAATCTTCCTGAACACCTCCTGGTCCAACAGCACTTCAACACAGGCATCATAACCTGGAGACACAGGAAGACGAGGGGGGGGGTGTTATAATCCCGTCTCACACACACACACACACACACATCAGGTTCACATCCTGCTCCAGTACCGTTGTAACTGGCCCAGTGCAGTGGCGTGTAGCCCTGGTTGTCTGTGAGGTGTGTGTCAGTGTTAGGCGTGGACGTTGCCTGCAACAGAGCGCCCAGAGCGGCCACGCGACCACAGGCCGACGCCAGGTGGAGAGGGGAACGGCCCTGTATGTCTCTGACACACACACTGGCCCCCCGCTGCAGCAGAGCCTCCACACACTCTTCCTGACCTGTAACTGCCTGTGGAGAATTTCAAGCAAGAGAAACATCAGCAATGACGACAAAACAAAAACACAGCGTTGTTTTTTTTTTCTTTTTTTCTCATGATTGCAGGAAAAGTTCTGGCCCGACCCCTCGGTGAAGTGCCGTCCTCCCCCATCGGTCCTGCTGTACCACGCTGGCTCCTTGACTCAGCAGTGAGTACACACACTCTGTGTGTCCATTCAGCACTGCCAACATCAGGGGGGTCCTGTGTACAGACAGCAGATTTAATGGTGTTTGTCCGAGACTGGTAAATATGAACGAGACAAGCGTCTCAGTGAAGGAGTCCAAGTCTCCATGCTGAGTCCATTTTGTCCTTGGACACACATAGAAACTCACTGTCCATTGGCGTCCTGCACGTCTACGTCAATGTGTTGGTCGTTGTGGCTCAGTATCAGGCTCAGGCACTCGGGGTGGCCATTCGTAGCTACAGCACAAACACAGAGACAAACATTCTTTATGACAAAAAATGAGAATAAATAAGGAAAAATATGGTTACATGCTCAAATTTGGAGATTTATGTCTTTGATAACTTATCAACAGTTTTAACTGATTAGATGTTTTAACCAACTACCAAACACGTTCAACCACCTGCTTTACTTGCTCATACTTTCTCACATGTATGTTCACTCTATTCTTAGCTGTGGTCTGTTCTGCCAGGATTCAAAACCTACGACTGAGGTGCGGACATTGTTCAGATTCTTGTCTGTTACATTCAACTCAGTTCAGACTTAGCGTGAGACGATTCCCCAAACATCCAGCACCATCAACCTAACACCAACAAAAACTCCAAACCGCCATCAGGTGTGTGTACCTGCAGCATGTATGGCTGTCTTTTTGTGTGTGTAGTCATGAGTCATAGGTGAGGCCCCATGGTGGAGTAACAGAGAGACACACTCCTGGTGACCACTGGAGCAGGCCAGGCTCAGCGGGGTGCGACCCTCGGGGCTCCTGACGTCTACGTCCAACAGAGAGGCCAGCAGGACCTCCAGAGCTCCACAGTGTCCGTGATACGCCTGGGTGATTCAAAGACACGCGGCCACATGTTCAGTTTAAGAGCCAAACGCACTGAGAGAGGACCTGGCACAGATGAACTCACCGCCAGATGCAGTGGACTGACGGGAGCTTGGGTTTCTGAGTCATTAAGGATGTCTGTTCCTGAAGTTTCCATTAGCTAAAAAAAAGAAGATACTTTTTCCTTATTTCAATGTCCAGAAGATTTCTGTGCCATACAGAGTTTGAGATTTAATTTAATCTTTTTAGTAACACCTTTACCAACAGAGGGGGCTACCTGAGTGTAGGACTGAGTGATTCAGATTTCGTACTTACCACATCAAGAGGTGTCTCACTTGCCATCTGTAAGAAACAAAGTCTGTTAAGAAAAGTGTGACTAAATCATTTCTTCACGTCATAACCTCGTGCTTACTCACCAGCTCCAGACACAGCGTGCGTCCGTAGGCGGAGGCGTAGTGCACAGCACTGTATCCCTGTTTGTCTCTGACTGAGGGATCAGCGTTGTTCCTCAGCAGGTACTCCACACATCTGACAGGACAGAAGAGATCACATTGTGTTTTTACTTTGAAGAAACCTCCGTCTGACTTTTCAGACTCTGATGCTGAACAATGGAAACAGAGCTGATTTCTGACGTACACTGTAAAGAGCCTGTATGTGTGAAAACAAAGTCCAACTCTTTGGATTTGTTATCAATACTCCATTGGACTACAATAGTCAGAGCAAAGAATTGTGATCTCTGTATTTGCAACTGTGTATTAAAATAGACATTGTACTGAATTGTACAGTTGTACTGAATGGTCAATTTTCACTCATTATCAATCAGTGTGATTATTCTTGAAAGACGTACTTTCCATCAGTGTCAGCAGAAGCAGCATAGTGCAGGGGGCTACAGCCTCTCTGGTCCAGCTCATTGATGCTTGCACCGGAGCCCACCAAGGCAAACACACACTGGTAGTTACAGTTGGCTGATGCATAGTGTAGTGGAGTCCTATAATGTCCAGAAAATTAAGGTCAAGGTTTTTAACATCTATTATTCTACACAGCGCTTTCACAGCATGGGGTTAAAACAAAGGTGTCTCACCTCCCAAAGTTGTCCTTCCTGTTAAAGTCCGCTCCTATGTTTAACAACAGGTTGAGACACTCCAGGTTCCTTAGAAGAGCAGAAACATAAAGAGAACAATAAATCTAACTTCAAAGGAACACAGTGATGAGACAGAAAACGACTCACCCTCCGGCTGCAGCAGCGTGAAGGCAGGTCCTCCCAAAGTCATCAGGGGTGTCTATGTCAAACCCTGCACAAAAAATAAATACAACTGGCATCAATGCCTGAGTCGACCGGGTGATTCAACTGACAGGGGAGATGTCAGCATGACAGTACCTGAGGACAGCAGTTTCCTGCAGCAGTCTGAGAAACCGCTGAGAGCTGCCAAGTGTAGCGGGAACATCCCATGAATTCCTTTCCTAGGAAGATAAACGACCCAGAAGGCAAGTCGTTACAAGACATGGAGAATGATGTGGTAATGTGATTGTGGACTACATGACAGAAATGAACAAGGACTGAAACGATGTGTAACCATCTAATTTTTTTTAATGAATTTAGTTTAGTTTAAGGTTAGTTTTAGATTGGACTCAGTGAGAGAGACAAGCAGATAAATACCAGTAGATACTGACTTGGTGGTGCTGGCTCCGTGTTTGACAAGCGCTGTGATGATGAGTTCGTGGCCGTAGCGAGCAGCAATGTGAAGAGCAGAGTTCCCGCTTTTGTCTTCGAAGTCAATCTCAGCTCCTACAGATACATCAACCAACACTTTTCAAAGACATAGAAGAAGAAGCGGACAGAAATGGACTTTCTTCACATTGATATGCAACATACATGATTTCACCTCCTGCTCTGACAACCTGAAAACTCTTGGACCCAAATGATCTTGTTTTAAACGACATATATTAGTTATTTTGTGTCCAGGTGGATCGGTCAAAAACATTAGGCCACTGATGCCACCATATAACCATAATAATTAGTATTTCGTTTGTACACTGTTTCTTGCATTTCAAAAATATATACTGACATTTTATTTTGTATAATAAAATATAATAAATAGGTATCCTAATTGTAAGAGAAAAAAACTATTCTGATAAGGTGTTGATGTTGGGACTCTTACCATTTTGAATTAAGGCTTGAGAACAGGAGAACCGTCCATGTGTAGCTGCCATGTGTAGTGGAGTCTTACCATCTTTACTCTGGAATGACAAAGGATAAGATAAGAAATAACTGTTTATGATCTCCTAAATAAAGACAATTCTGTGTGTCAGTGGTGCAATGGCGTTCTATTTCATGGAGAAAACGGTAAATGAAACAATCATTCATCAACAAAAATCATCAACACAGAGCTTCCACCAACAAACAAAAGCAGCTTCCCTTCACACCACCTGCAGAAAACATTTAGACGTCTCGGCTCAGTCTTCTCTAGCTTCAGTCGACTGTTCTGTCTGACCTTCTGCTGAGGCCAGACGTTACAGGTCCATAAAAACCACATACCACTAGAAAGTTGAACAGTTTTTTCCTAAAGCTTCTCTGCGTTGAAGTAAGCAGTAGAAAAACAAAGGCAAAACATTTTTTCTATCAACTTCACCATGTGCAATTTTTTATTTATTGAAGGCCTGTCTTCAAACTCTATACATATGGAAATCTATGTAGAGCAGGTTTCTAGTGTTTGTTTTGCAGTTAGTAATTCATGTGTTTTTTTCCATTCCTTTCTACTTGTGCTAAACTCCTCTGTGCCAATGACATGAATGGTTATTTGTCTGTGATTATGTTTCAGCCCAACACTGATGTCAAAAGCTTTTAAAATGCAAACATTGCTCAATGTTTTTTTTTTTTACTACAGGCAAACATTCTCTCTCTGAGAGCAGCTTGCAGCCTCAGGGAGCCCCCACCTCCCTGTTTCTCTTCCATATGGTCCTGCACCATGAGGCAGAGAGGAGGTGGTATCAGTTTCTATCACTGTGACTGGAGTGTTAACAACACTTTCATTTTCACTCACTGCTACAAAATGAGTTAAAAAGTGGCAACACAGTCTTGTATTTTTTTTTTAAATATGATGTCACACGTTTCACACCACTACACTGCACTGGATCCTGCTGCTTGTGCCTGGACTCTTTTTTTTGTGTCCTGGTTTTGGTGTTTAGTGTAGTGTCAAAACAAACCTGCATGTTAATGTGAGCTCCATGGGCCAAGAGGAGCTCCTGACAGAGCGCCCCCTGTCGTGAGGAAGAAGCAAAATGGAGAGCAGAAAACCCTCTTTCATTCACCTGAAATAAAGACACAAAACAACACAATTAAACACAAAAGATCAAACATATCACACAGCCTTGTTTTCCTCCGTTATATCACTGTATTATTGAAACCTGTTTATTTCTTGATTTAATACTAAGACTGACTATTTGAGGCAGCAGAAAACATCTATTTTCTTCTTCTCTGATTCCATAAACTCAGCTGGTGTCTTGAATCCACACACCTGATTCACACTGGCCCCTCTCTCGATGAGTTCACTGACCACCACATCCTGTCCATTATAACAGGCTAACTGCAGCGGTGTGTTACCATATGTGTTGACATCGTTTACCTGGGAAAAGACAGAATAAAAAAACATAATGTACCAAACAGTACATTATGAACAATTCTCACATAAATCATCCAACTACAGTACAATGGAATCATTACTATTTTCAATCATTTCCCTAGCTATGGTGGTTGATGTACCAAAACATATATTTCTTCTTTAAACATAAAAAAGGTAATTTATAAGTTTTCTAAGACAAATCAGTGCATTTTTAGTCATGTATATTTTTTCTGAATTTTAACCATATACAAACATTTGCTCCTTGATTTTGTTTCTACTGTTGAAAACACAAACCCAATTATAGACATTTGGTAGCATTTTCATTTATGCTCAATGTGAGGACTCAATGTTTGTTTCAGATCCTGTGCTACATCCTTTTTTGTGTTTTTTATATATACATTTCTTTTGTATACGTATGTACTGACAGGGACACCAAGGCTCAGCAGGTAGTGCACTGTGCTGCTCATCCCACTGGAGGCAGCGGCGTGAAGAGGGGTATAAGCCTTTTTGTCCTTACAGTCCACCTCAGCTCCACTGGCCACTAGAACCTTCACCACCTCCAGGTGACCTGACACAAAAACATAAGAAGAGTTAAGTTTTTTATTTAAAGTATTTAATATTTTAGACTTTAAGATCCCATCACAACCATCTTACCCATGTAGGCTGCCCAGTGAATGGCCCTCCGGTCCTTTTTATCAAATGCGTTGATGTTAGCTCCTCTGGATAGGAGCAGTTTCACAATCTGACAAAAGGAGGAAAATTAGACATCTGCAGCAAGGTAACATGAGATATAAAAAAGAAGCACTCACCTCTACATGTCCACTAAAGGCAGCGTGATGCAAAGCAGTGCGTCCTGCTCTGTCCGAAACATTGACGTTGCTGAGAAGTGGGACCAAAGCCTCGGCACAGCGAATCGCTTTGTTGCTCGCTGCAACGTGGAGCGGCGTCTGCCAGTTCTTGTCACGAGCGTTGACGTCGGCGCTGTGCTTCAGAAGCACTGCCACTGCATCCTGTTTGGAGAGAGGGCATGAGTCTGCAGACAAAGGCTCTTCTGTTGAGATCCACAATGTTCTGTCCAAGTGCAGGCCAGTGTGATCAGGTGCGAGGTTTTCTTTCACAGACCTTCAGTCTTAGAAGTCTGCTCTAACCTCTTTTAGTCTGCATCATATCCGTCTGTATCACAACTCCATCGATATTTTCTTATGACTGTATTTGTGAAATAATGCTAAAATGAGTTAAAAGGTATTTCTTTTTTGTTGTAGAGGAGAACAGCTCTTATCTAAGCATTAAGCAACAATACTATTTTGGTGAGTATTCAGGTCAAGATGTAGCACAATCTAGTGGTCAGGTGATGAGCAGGTGTGGCATATCATGTGCATCTTTAGCTGGGAACAAAAAAAGAGAGTTGTGTGTCCGTAGCCAAGAGTAAAAAACATTTTTGTGTTACCTCACTACAAGAAGCAACAGCTCGGTGAAGAGGCGTCAACCACTTGTTATCTTTGGCGTTAACTCGGGCTCCTTGGAAGAATGAAAAGAAAACCATGTGTGTGCAGTAGACACATTTTTTATCATGCTGTAAACATGTTAAAAAACAAACAAACAACTTGATAACTGCCCTAACAACTGCTTCGTTCAAAAAGGCTGTCACCCTGACTAATGTACCAAGGGTTTTATTAGCTAATACAGAGACAGAAAGACAAAATACCCATGAGCCAATCTGGCAGAGCATTAGGGGTTAAAATAGCCCATAGGCTGCAGCTGTTGCCAGCTCTTCAAATTATTGAGAAACACAGGACACATGACACACACACACAATTTTTTCACGTTACGCCTGTGATGGCTCCGCCTCTTGACATGCTCACGTTACAGACAAGTGAGCCGACAGAGATCCTATCAGATGATTGACAGATCAGGTGAAACATCACCAAGATGACCAGAGAAGTGAGCATACACACGAGTGTGAAACTGACGACGACTGCTTATGGCTCTATGGAATTGTAACGGCACCACTACCTGCTCTAATTAAACCACTGGTAGACATACGCACCCAGATTTAGACTGATTGAACGCAGACATTGGGAGAAAGCCAAAACCATAACAAGAAAATAACATCCCTGCAGATGGAAGTGGAAACATTTACTTCCTTTGGTCAAGTAAAAAAGACTAAAGGAATTATTTTATTTTCAATTTCTTTTGTTTAGAGATGCTTTCAGCTTGGTCTGAACTAGTCACTGTAAATTTCAGACAGAATAAAATATATTTTATTGTGATAACACTTCTGTGCAGCAAAAAAAAAAACCAGCAACAAGCTGCTACATTTATAAATCAATATGCTGCTGTGTTTACCTGAAAGTATGAGCAGTTCAATGATCTCAGCATCTCCCAGATAGGCTGCAGCATGGAGAGGTGTCCTCTTCTCATTGTCCTTAAAGATTTTCAAATAAAACATACAATGCATAATTTGAATCATCAATCAATCCCCGACCCCTCCTCCCCTAACACAATCTATAAACTTTACACTTGCAGACCACAAGAAATAGGAGACTGGGTCCATGAGGGGCAAAAAGTCCATCATCCGGTCACTCGTAGTTTTCAATTTGCTCCATCTCTTTATTTAGACCCCACCCTCCCCCCACTGCCTCTCCTTCAGAACATGAGAGCACAATCAGCAGAGTGGAGCTATAAACAAAAGTCACGTGACCACAGTGGTTCTGAGCCGGTGTTGCTGACTCCATGAAGACGCAGTATGATGATGGTAGCATTATTACAGCCACGGATGAGGAAAACTATTGGGGTGGAATGTAAAGAAATGTGTCCAACGAACAAAGTGAAGGAAATGATAATGGACAAATATAGAGTGTGAGGTCAGGTAAAGGTCATTTGAAAGTTTTGTTCTGAAATGTTCATGTGTCCTGCTCTTGTTGACAGCTTTATGAAATGGAGGAAGGAAGGAGCTGCCAGGAGGGACTCAAAGTCAATCGATCAATCAATGCACAGGTCAATTGTAGCCTGGGCTTCTGTCTACCAACTGCTGCTCTTCAAGGTGCCGTACATACACAGGGCAGCACTAAGAGCAAACAAAACAGTACTGTACACATAAACCCTGTTTCCTGAAAAGTTTGTACACCTTTAAATGCAATTAATACTTAAAAACTGAACTTAGCAAAACATCCCAACTTTTACTTAACAAACAAAGAGACAAGGAAATGATTTAAATGTTACTTAATTCCAAACTGTTCTCGGATTGTATAACATTTAAAATTCAATGCCTTCAACACACTTTATACATGCTGAGAAAGAAACAGAGCAAGAGTCTGAGATTCTGAGAGACAGCTATTTTTTTCAAGTAACTTTAAGAGGAATTTAAATTAAGACTGGGTATGTAAGGAGCATCCAATAAAGGATTGGTCTTTGAAGGCAAGGAGTGGTTGCATGGATTTGATGATGCATTTCTGCACCAAGGCACTATAAATCTGCAGCCTATTCTGACACATTCTTAGGACAAGATGTTTTATGTTTCTCGGAAATGCTATGATTTTTCAGTAGAAGAATTCCAAGGCTGATTCCGAACAAAATACAACATTTTCAGCTTTAAAGGTGCAGAGTGTCTTAGTAGATATCCATCTCCAGATAAATGGTCTGGTGTCTCACGATTGAAAAGAGAAAAAATATGGGCACATTTCTCCATGGTACAACAACAACTGGCAGTGTTTCCTCTTGGACTTTTTTAAGCAGCACCAACATTTCATCCAGCTCCCCATAGGACACATACACAGGTAGAGAGATAAACACATCAAACTATTAGACAGATGCACACTATGACCACAAACTTCAGGAGCGTTAAGGCTTCTCTGTTAACAAACCAAGTGCCACCTACAGTTTGTTATTTAGGATACAGTAAATTTAAGCAGTAGATTTATTTCTTGTGGATCAACTCCTATATTAAAGGGAGTGTATAATTCTGGTAAAACTATTTTGTCTTACCTGAATGTTAACATCCTCCTTCTTAAAAATGAGAGAGCGCACTTCATCTGGGTCCAGGTTGAAGATGGCTCTTAGCAACGATGGCTGCAGGAAAACAGAGAAAAAAGAAGATGATAAACAAAACTGCTAAACTTCATTTTCTCTGTTGACCGTGGTGTTACCTGCCGAGGGGTTTACTAATCAGAGATTCTCACACACAGATATTATAATACCATGTTGGAAGAAAGCCAAAGGCAGCCAAAATCTGTTTATGAAAGTACAAGCTGCACTGCACTGACACACACCGTTACATAAATGTTGAGGTCCAACATTTGAGGGTTAAAGGCATGCTGTTCTTTTTCCACGTGGTTTTGGAACCACCTCAACAATGTCAACAGTGGTGTAAAAGACAGGTGCAGTGTGAGAAGAACAATAAAGGGGGGGTTATCTTTAAACACCCAAGCATTTTCACTTTTCCATAACTGTTTATCGGAATTATTAAAGCACATTACACCTGGAACTGTGTTCCTGACAAAAGCTAATCCCCTCCAGTAGGCAGCTGCAAAAACATCATCAACACTCTTCTTCTCCTGTTAGTTAGATTATGTAAATCTCAACATATGTGAACATCATGAACCCATGGTGCTGCTGGATACTGGCTGGGATTTGTTAAAGAGACAAACTCACAAATTATAAATTATACATTTTCCAAATGTATTTGCTTTTGCTAATAGGACATAAATGGCAGAAATAAAAAATGTTTTTTTAAACATAAAATATAAATGATGCAAAATAGACAACAAAAAGAGTGCAGTGAACATGAAGTGGAAAGATACAGGCTCAACTTAAACTCCCTGCTGGCTACTGAAGTGGCCAACAAGGTACGATGATGTGATATGACTTCACAGCCAATAATAAAATGTAAAACGTAATAATATGAACTGTGTCCAGCCTCTTTAGACACTGATCATTTGCCTAAAGTAAATCACCATCCAGAAAAGTAATAATTCATTAATTATAAATTAAGTAAATCTGGACAAACACTTCCTTGTTTTCATATAAGACGCATGCTTTTTTAAAAAGTAAGTTCATTTCAGTTGACATTGAAAAAATATTTTAGTTCCTGCAGCAGTCCTGGTACTGATGACTTGTTGTGAGTAAGTAACAGAGTTACTGATAATGACAAAGAGAACTAAACCACAGCAAAAGCAGATTTAAAGAACCCCACGGTTTGAAAGGCCTGTTTTGTTTTTATTCTATGACACTAAACTGAATAGAATTCATATTCAGTTTACGGTCATTAAGATCCTGATCATTTACGAACCAAGTTACCACTTTACCACATGTTAATTTACATGAATCATCTGTTTAGTCAACTTTATGAATAACTGCTGGTGCCTGCACGCAAGGCAGCAACAGAAAATCATTATTTTTCGTAAGCTACTTACATTGCTCAAGCTTCATGGGTTTGTCAAAAAGGCAAAAGGAAAAAGAAATCGGAAAACTAGTGAGCTGCACTACAGAAATCTATCTATGTGTGCACCCCCATCTTCCAGCAGGAGCAGCCAATTTAAGGGTAGACTTCAAGTATGCCATTCAGTAAAATACTTGATAAGCACTACAAAGTGGTCCTGTTACTTCCTCTCAACCTCGCCATGGATTCCCATCATCCATCTCTAATTTCATTCCAACTAAAAATAAGCGTGGCTGTCAGGCATGTTGTTATCTGTCTCATGTGTATTACTATGATGAGTACAGAAACTATGTCAAAGATCAAGAAGAAAAACACAGAGTGACAGGACGGACCCTGTCATGAGGGACGACACATTTGCGCTGCTTACATCACTGTACACTTCAATGAGCCGCTTTCGTGAAGTGAAGACTTATTGTTACTCCATTTCAATTTTCCTTTTACAGAGCCAGTAAAGAAGCTAGCAAAGAGGACTACAAAGGCCTGGGCTTAACTGATAATCTATGCAATCAATGCCCAACAGTCACCTTATACCAAAAGCTTTATTTGTGATAACATTGGGGCTATATTTATCATGAGACAGCAGACTGTATTTTGACAGATTAGGACGTCTGACAAAGTAAAGCCGTACAGGCTTTAGCGTCAGAATGAGAAAAGACTGATGGAAGTGCAGTGTCACATCAGAAATTCAAGCAAACGCTGTCCTTTGTACCAGAACTGGATTCAACCGGAACATGACTGAATGAATCAGTTTATCAGGAAAATGATGAGGCCATCTCACCTTGTCTTCTTGCACTGCAGCCCGTCGAGAGGCATGATGGGACCTGCGATCTGGAGAAGACTTAGGCCTGGGAGGTGGGGGTGAAGAGGAAGGCTCGTCTTCCTCCACCTCCTCCAGCACCACAATGCACACACGGCTAGCCCGCTCTGACCGCATCAGGAACAAACATTCACACACACATACTCACAGTTTCACAGGTTTTTTCAGATTACATATGTGCAGCATTTAGGAACATGGAGCAAAAAGGAGAATAAGAAATCCAAACAAGACCGATGTCCTTGGACAAATCGCTACCCATCCTCATGTAAAATCCAGAGTGAAATCCAGTTGCATCCTCTGCCAGTCAGTGCTGTTTGGCTGTGTGACTCTCCAATTATTCTTCCTTTCTTTTTTGGATTTTATGACTCCTCTCTCCTCCTCCCACTAACCCACACTGCCTGTAAGCAGCAGAAGCCGAGGCAGCAGGGAATTCCTTTGCGTAATGGTGTCGGTAAGCAGCATGCGGCAGAATGAGCTTGCGCTGCCTAGCAGCGCACAGGAAGCGACATACTGTACAGGACCCTGTCTGCTGTGCTGCAGTCAGGAATACACACACACACACACACACAGACAAACACTCTCTCTCTCAGCTTCGCTCTCCCCGTCCCTCCTCCCCCGAAACACAGAGCCTTTGATTGGCACAGACAGGGGCTGCAGCACCTTGTGTGTGTGGGAATGCTTAGCTAGTTTTGGACAGAATGCTGAAGCCAGCTCTTTAAAATGAAGAGGTAAAAAGGGGGAGGGGACAGTGGGAGGGAGGATGGAAAAGAGGGTGAGCGAGAGTGAGAGAGAGAGCGAGAAAGACTATCTGACACACAGTACAAAATAAGTAGTATTTACTAGCAAAGACTATCACGAACGAAAGTTAATCTGTTAACTACAGTGTATCAATTTTCTAGAATAACTGCAGAGACGCTGCCCTTGGCTTGAATGGTCAGGTCTATTTGGCTACGAATATTTAAAAGTAGTATAACTTAGTCATTTTTCAATGAACAGTGGTGAATTGAAAATTCAAAGCACAAGTGAGACTTTAGGAAACACGCAGGATCGGCTCGCAGCTCATTCTGAGCCAGTATGCAAATCTGTGGTTTACCCATGAAAATAATCTGTAATAAAAGCCTTGTCGACACATTGCACGTACAGTTGTCCATATCTGTCAGATCACCGGGTGCTCAGTGCTGTAATGGGCGGTTAGAATAAGGTTTGTTAAGATAACCTTGGTGACTAATTTTCCCAAGAAGTTGGCTAAACTTAAAGTTGTTCTGCAGGCTGATTTAGTTTAGTTTTAGGTTTAATATTTGTTTTGGAGGAGCTTTTTTGAAGTATCTGCTCAGGTATCTGTTTGGTTTGGTTTCTGCAGCAGTATCGTTACTGGTATTTGGACATGCTAGCTGGCAGAAACAGAGCATTAGTTCAACTCCCACAATTGTGCATCTGTTCTTCAGACTGTATATCAATTACAATGGATGCTAACTTTACATCTTTCCTGAGATGCATCCTTTTATAATAACTTACTCCTAATTTAATCAACAGATTACTTAATGCCACATTTCACTTTATTACTTTACAAGAAATATATGTTATTAATTGCTTGGGGCACAGTAAGCTTTTTTTGCTTCCTCTTAATCTGAAAATCATAAACCCACAGCATTGTGGAAATAGAACATTTTGGTTTTTATATCTGAAGTCAATTTGGAGGCAGAAGTGTCCTGTTCTTCTAAATTAAGGAAAATAACAGAAATGGATACCAGCTTGGCACATGACGTGTGTGTGTGTGTTCATACTTCCTTTGTTTCATATCTGTGGCATAGCACAAGTCCCCATTTACTCATTAGAAAATTGAAACAAACCAGCTTTGTCAGAGAAAGAGAGGGCTGCTAACAACACTAGTCTGTACGTGCATCTGTCTTTGTGTGTCTGCGTCTCCTTCATATTCAACACAGATCCTAAAATGAGCATATCTGCCAAGCCACACAGCCCCATTAACTCAGAGGGAGGGACGGAGGGAGGGAGGAATGGAGAGAGGGAGGGAGGAAAGATGAGAGAGATATTCTTTTATATGGATTCTTTCCACAGTCCTAAACATTGGGTCTGATGAGATTACCATTTTTAAACTCCATGTGACACATAGCTATAATCTTCCATTTTCAGTGGCAAACAAAATGATATTACAGACAGCAGCAAAAGACTGAAAAAAACAAAACAGACAAGACAACTCTACTGCACTTCCAATGACTGAGGGTTGCAAAAAGTTAGAGTAAAAAGTTATTTACAATGCAGTTTTGCAAAAATTTGCCAAAGAGAAATGAGTCCCTGGTTGAACTGCTTCATGCAATCGATGCAATAAAAACTCGCGCAACAGACACATCTGGAAACACATATTTTGACGAGGCACACAAAAATAAAAAATAATAAAAGTCTGTGTTCATCCTGACACGGTCATATAGATTTGTGATCTTAGGAAGAAAACAGTCTGACACATGTGATAAAATATGCAGGCCAGCTGACCTCTGTTTTGACCCTGCAGAAGAATACTCTCAGTGTAATTTAATCCCAGTCCAGACGTTCAAAGGACAGCATGTTTTCCAAATCTGTCCCCATGCTGGGACAGCAGCAATGACAAAGCTGATGGCTTTCAAAAAATAAAATAAAATAAAATAAAAATCAAGAGATGATGTTATGTATTTTTTTTATCACATGTCATGACACTGCATAAATGATATGGAGGGTGTCATCACTATGAATTAAATACAATTAAAGTTGGTATTTTTCACTGACTCTAAATGTAGCTGTAGAGCTGTGAGAAGAGCAGACAATGACGACGCAGCATCACACCTAATGCTGCTGAATTATAATCATTAATATCCAGATAATATAGATACTCCTTATTTTTGTTTTGTGACTAAGCCAGTGAATGACATTCATACTGATCTTTAACAGGCATTTGGTTTTGAATGGCAGTTAGGTTTTTGCTGATCCGTAACATCTGTAAGTCCATCAGTAGCCGGATGTTGCATATTAGACTGTACATAAAAGCAAACTGCAATATACTGTACTATTATACACTAGTATGTGACTAACGTGTGGCACAAACAAGATGTCGTGTATAGACAGTATTCAAACTGTGTATTAGGGGCAGCTGCTGAAGTATGCAAAAAGAAAAAAAAATCCTGAATAAATGAGCACAAAAATACATGAGTCACTTCTGTGTTTGACCTTCTGCTTTCATTGTGTGTTCCCATTAATGCTTTCCACCATTTCTTTCCTTAGGCAGGACATCGACATCAGACACCACAGTACTCATGTAAGAAACAGAGCACCCTCTAGAGGACACACGGTAGCCATGGACAAAGAAAGGGAGACTATTTTTGTCCATTTGTTTGTTTCACAAAAGCTGTATAGATAAGAACAATGAAGAATAGAACGGAGATGTAATCACAGACGCAGTCTTCCGTTTGATGCATGTCCGTCACTGTTCAGGAGCAAGGACAGCCCAGGACAGACCAGGGAACTTCACAATGACTGACCTTAAGTCAGTAGTTTTCTCTACGGTTTAAAGCATTACTTCAATTATCATGAAAACAATACTCATTTTGTGTGTTTATTTGATGTTGCCATAGTCTAATTAAATATTAACCATTTTTTAATCTTCTGCTCCTTCCCCCATCTTCATCCTCTACCTTGACAAATCCTCTCTACGCTCTTCTTCTTTTCCTCCTGTCTGAACAACTCTATCGCCGTAATGTTCTTGTCCAATTCATACACATTCTCTCACCGTTGCATCTTTAACTGACACTGCACAACATTAGATGATCAATTTGCCCTTGTAGGTCTTACTAGCATCGTAAAACCTTTTGCTAATCAACCTCAACGGTAATCTCTTAACCCACCCTAAACTGTCTGTGCCCTCCCTTTCTCCTCTTTTGTACCCCGTCTGTTGCTTCAGATGGATGGAATGCACCTTTAAGTCAGAGTCTGAGTCACTGAATACAATTTTTAGCTGAGTCCAAGTCACGTCTGCCGAGTCACTGAAAACCATGGAGTCCTAGTAGTCCTATGCCAAATCGATTGAGAAAATATTAAGTCCAGTCCTCGCGGTTTCAAGCCCATGTCTATGTAGATAAAAATATCAAGAGTCTGAGATGAGAACATACAGACAAGGACAAAAAAACAGATTATAATCAATCGTCATCTCAGCTTCCCTATGCAGATATCTAACAAAAATATTAAAGCCTGATAAACCTCATAGGTACAGCAATATTCTATCCACTCTGTGGTGCTTTGTGCTCCCCAAAGATTCAAAGATTCTTGATTCTGGCACTGCTATACACGTGACAACAACTACTATGCAAAGATATGGGTTTTCTTTTATTTTCCCCCTATAGCCCAGTACCAAATGGCCAGTCCTGGGTCCACAGCCCAGGGAGTGGGGGCCTCTGAAAAGAGAATTTATAAGTAAGTCTGATGACCACTACAATTCTTTCGGGCGTCAGCAACTTTTCTTTTGGAGGTGACTGGATCCTGTATATATGTGTGTTTATTTCACACATTTAGCTGGAGACACATTTGAGAGCCAGCACCACCTGCTATTTTAGTCTGACACACTTATCTCCAGCAACAGGTGACTGTCCACAGCTGTCCACAGCAAAGAGGCAGCTGAGCAAGCAAGAAAATGCCAAGAAATTCACCCATGGATTTCAAGTCAAAACAAAGCCTGATACGGCTTTTAACACAAACAAGTTACACAATAACAACAGCGAGTTAGCAGCTTTGTTACTACACTAGCTATCATCCAGCTGCGTTCTACGCTCCATCACCATCAGACAGGAGCTGCTAGAAACGTTTTTTTTTAAAAATCGCTATCAAAACCTTACAAAGCTGTCATTTTACTTTTTCTGACAAACAGAATAGACAGTTGAATTGTGACAACGAGTGACGTAACAGTTTCCCCTGCTGGTTATGTTCACAGGAGTTACCGCTAAGCTAGTGGGCTAACGTGTCAACTGTCAGGAGATTAAACCGTGAAGCGAACAAAAGCAACGGCAAAATGTTCTGTTTACCGACTGGTTGTTGTCACAGTCACCAACTTTAAATATATCGTATATTTAATGCTGAATGCTCACTTTGATACAAACGCAAACCCTTAACGCTGTTGACTAGTTCAAACGCAAAAACTAGCAAAGTAGCGTCAATGGCACCGGAGAAGAAACTTAACGGTAGATTGTTGGAGCTCAGAGATAAGAGATAAGGTTACCTGTTCTTGTATCTTTAACACAGCCATGTTCTCCGTTAGAGAAGGAAGGAGACGCCTTTAATTCTCCGGGGAGTTATAGCATAGTATGTTAACCTAAAGGGGAAAGAGAAGGAGGAGGAAGGAGGTGAATAATAAGGACAGGCTCTCTGGAGTCAATCGGTGCTGCTCCCCACATCTTCCTTCCTTCCTATCCGGGACAATTTCTCCACATCATAGGACAGAAGCGGAAGCGGATCAGCGCCACATGTACGGTCATTTTAAAGATATATTTTTATTTAATAAAAAAATCTACATCTATATTTAGAGAATTCTAACTTAAATCATATGTGAAAACAAAACGAGTGTCCCGAGTTCAAATTCCAAATAAAGTCAGAATTCTTCATTTGTTATTTTTATAAGGCATCATTCTGAAAGAAATATAAAGACATGATTTTTGATTTGATTAAAATCCATCCATCCATCCATTTCATCCGCTTATCCGTTACCGGGTCGCGGGGGCAGCAGTTGCCACCCAAATCACATTGCACCGTACCAAACCTTCCTGCGGGTGGTGAGTCCACTGGAAGGTACCAACCGCCCTAACCGGGATTCGAACTTGCCCAGGAGGTGAACCCTGGGGTTCCACACCAATGACAGAGACATTGCCTCTGGGCCAAAGCGCCACTTGATTAAAATATACATTTTTATTAATAATTGAGGAATATTCAAACCACTCCACACAGTTTTATTTTGACTACCACAACATTTATTTATTTTATTTTGTACAAAATAATTCACTAAGTTAAACACTTCAATGCATGGCTATCATTGGGTCCGTGACCCCTACAGGATCGAGTGAGGTACTGCAGGGTGTTTTAGGTTTTCAGAATTTGGATGATCACTTTTTTTTGCAGAAGAAATATATGTGTTATTATCTCCGTGCTAATTGAATTCTAAATAAAAAAGGTACATCTACATATGGCAGTAGGCCCAGACTAGTACAAATTAGTACGAGGTCTCTACGGTATGAGTTTATACCAGAAAAACAAGTAAAAATGTAATGTCTTCTAATTGTGTTTTTAATTATGCTGCTCTTGTAGACTGTAAATAAGAACTGGTTAAAGCTGTGAAACTGAAAAGTACAGCAGATCAGGGTAATAATACAGATGTAAAGGTTACAGTGTTTTCCTTTGGCAGATTACAAATCATTGATAGGTTTTATAATTAAAGTAAAGTCTGTCAGAAAATGTAAAAAGTCATTGACAAAATTGTCAGTGCTTGTTTATCAAGACATATTCAGAGAAGTTTTGCTTTCTGACGACTTCCAGAGGGAACCTGAGAGTAGAAACCTTTGCATGTCATGGAAGTTGAGTCGCAGGTGTAGCTATACTCACAGCAGTGTTGACCGTCGCTGCAACACTGGCCCTAAAAGAAGTGCAAATATTATTGTTAATGAAAATCACTGAGCAATAAATGTCTGCATCAGTGCTGATTCTTTAATCAGCTGAACTGGTGTTGGTTGTTCTGACATGTATATATAAGATGCACTAAATCTCGCTCCTATACCAGTTGGTATGGACAGCAGCTCCACTGGCCCGTCAAATCCTTGCAGCAACTTGTTTTAGCCCCGCAGTAAAACTTGGAGTCACAGCGAATGACTCCACTGTCAGCAGCGTTGAAGCTGGCCTCCGTCAGCGCTCTCATAGGTGTCTGAAAAAAAAAAACGCAGACATGTTTTCATTTCTTAGACATTTGTTCTGAATTAAAAATTCCTATTTTCAATAAATATTAAAAACCTTAGAGCAAGTTGGTGAGCACCAACTTAACTGGCCACCGAGGGGCAGCAGAAACAATCTGTAAAAATGCCATCAACTGATCGTTTTTTTGTTTGTTTTTTAAATTACATGACCCTAAAGTAACTTGCTGCTGCAGTAGTAGCCTGAAAAATGTACCTCACTCAACCTTTTTATCAACTTGTAAATTAGGGCCCGATTTACTTCGAAGGAATTCAGTATTTTTGTTTTTTATTTGACACTCTGGATTTTTTTTTGTTATTACATGCAGTATTTTATGAAATAAATCTAAATGTTCGGCCTGACTTTTGATGCACCTGCTGTATAAAGTTTCATAATCTGTGATGAATCCTACCTCCCGAGGCTTGGCATCGTCTTCCGGAGGTGAAATGCGAGAGGCAGGGACTGATGACAGGGCTGGTTGATTAAAGAAGGGATAGCTCAGAATTTGCCTCACACAGCGGGTATAAGTGAGATCACAGTCATAACCATATGGACAGCAGTGGTAACCGTCAAGGCAGCATCTTCCCTGAACCGCACAAGAAGAAAAAACAATTCAGTTATCTTCCATTAAGAGCCTTTTTGAACAGTATGCTGCACAACAGAGAAGTTAAAAATTTGAGTTGCAATCTTTGATTTTACATATTTTGATAAAACCAATACGTGTCTAATTGTAAATGTTTTTCATGGTCAACTCACAGGGGAGTATGGGCAACAGAACCAGACACCTGTGGGGTGTCTGCAGCATGTGTTGCCATCCAGACAGACATAAATGTTGTCACAGTGAACAACTGAACTTCTTTCAGGCTCTGGGAGGTGGTTGTTTTGGATCTCTTCTAAGGGAACCAGAGAGCTGGGTTTCTCTTCGGGTTCCTCCTTCTTCATCATTGGTCTGGTCATCCATGGCTGCCCTTGTTTCTCACACATCATGGTGACCAGGTTGCAACGGTATCCAGAAGGACAGCAGTGGGCCTCATCAGCACAGCATACCGCCTGGAATAAAAACACAACACAAACCTCAGCTTTAAACACTAACTTGTGAATGAAGAAAAAAAAGAAAAACCCACTGATCATACTCCAGTCAAATGTCTTACCCAGGTAGGGATTCATCAGACTTACGTTAGGATACGGACAGCAGCTGTATCCCTGGTCAGTCAAACAGCACGTCTGGTCGTCAGTGCACACCGTACCGTCAGGACAGTTGATGGAGCAGGAGGCCATGTCCCACACCAGCACTCCCAACAGCAGCCACAGAGTCATGGTCATCATCTGCAGAGTCAGGTAATTATATGGTAGATACGTGACTCCACTACACCTTCCACAATATTAAGCCGTCTCTGTGTTCATCTACTTTAATCTCATAGTAAATACCTATGGGATCTTGTATAATTATTTTCCTCTTGACTGGCAACTCTGTATCCAACTTTTTTGGTAAAATACTGGTCAAAAATAAAATCTCATTCTCTTTAAAACATTCCCTTTAACTCATGCTTTTGCTCAGTTCCTGAACAGATTTTCATGCCTGAATGAAAGCACCGCCCAGTTGTTTGACTTCTTGTTCTCTGTAACTTTCACTTTCCCCTTTGGCTTGTTCTAACAACACAAGACCAGCCTTACTGTTAAGTACCAAGCTGTTCTGACAGAATGAGAACCTATCACATAAAGGGCACTTAAGAAAGAAAATAAATATCAAAACTTCAGTTGTGTGTTTTTGTGTCACTTACCTTTTGGCAGTTAAGTGAGTTGACGCAACAACCTCCTGTGCTGTGTCTTCTACTTCCTCAAAGTGAAAAGACACTGCTCTTTATGAAGCAGGCCAGACCCACCCACTGAATAAAATACAGAAGCAGCACAGGCACAGATCACACCCCCGCACCAGAGTCCTGTGACTGTTGAGATTTGGGAAAGTCAAAATCACAGCAATTACAACATGTGAAGAGGAAATCTAAAACAGGAACCGTGTTTTAAACTAAAAAAAAAACAATAAAATAAATGAACTTTATATATATATATATATATATATATATATACATATATATATATGTATATGGAGAGCTGTCACACACCAACAAACCTTTGTTTCATTGCAGTCACAAGACCTGACAGCAAAACACCAAGGTTAACATTAGCAAGAGTAATGATTAACTTTACACAACCAGTGATGTTACACAAACTTCAGATTCAGACCATTAAGCAAGATGACAGATAAAAGTAGCATCCACCAAAAGCTAAAATTCAAACTGAGTTGTTATACATTTTGCGAGAGATGATCGGTGCCACTGGGTTTAGAGCCAGACGATCACTACTTCCATTCAACGACCCTGTGAAGGATAAAGTAGTAGAAAGTTAATGAACAATTGTTGTATAAAATAACCAAGGCAATTTCATTTGGAATTAAAATACAGTAAAAAGACTTTGAAGGTCATAGAAATATGTCTGTAAAACCGAGAGCATGACTCAGTGCTAAAGGTTCCTTTTTTGCTAAGCTAATGTTATTGACTTGGCCATGCAGCCACAGGAACTCTTTAGTAGCTGCAAATCTGTTTAGTGGAGAACTGAGATGAACACTAGACAATGGATTTATGTCTTATAACAAAATGAGTTCTACAATCCAAATACATTTTCAATTGTTTTAAGAGAACAAAATTACCAGGCACGGCTCGCAGTTCAGCATCTGAGGTAACAGCAACAAAGGCTAAAACAATTACTTTATTAATGAGCTTCCCATCAATTATACATTTACATTGCAGTGTAATAATTCCTCTAACAGAACCATTCTTCCTTGTATTAATGTCGATCGTATGTCTTGTTTTTTCTTCTTCTTTTTGTTCTTTCAAATTACATGTCCATCTTTCATCATCAGGTCTGCATGCATGACACGAGTACAGGCATGTTAGCCTCATCTAGCAACTAGAGGTGTCGGATGTGAAGCAGAGCAAGACAAACTTCTGGCAGGCCAGCCTACTGAAGGTGAAGGTCACAGGAATATGTTCAACGTTAGTCCAAAAAGAGAAGTGAAAGCATTGCTTAACTTCTGCTGTAGACTGGAACACAAAGAACAATCTACAAAAAAAAGGATGATAAAAGTCCAACCAAAGATATGTACCAGTAGATGTAAGGGAGATGTGTTTCCTGTAGTTATCACTCCAACCTTTTAAGTCTAGAGATTTCCATAATTGAGTGTAAAAAAATGAAGCTGGAGCAGAGATGCATTTTGTGAACAAAACCAGCGAATTGTAGTATAGCAGAGATGAGCTGCCCAATCCTGGTCCTCAATCCAGCTCTGAATCGGACTGAGACGCGGCCTTCTTCTTCTTTTTCCTTCCGTGTTTCTTGTGCTTCTTTTTCCTTTTCTTCTTGGATTTGTCCTGAAAACAAAAACAAAAAGTGTCATTGTCACAGCTTCATCAGTACTGTTTCTGACTAAAAGACTAAAAGAGAAAACCACTGGACCACTGGGAGAGTCAAGTATCCCTCGTAGTGCTTTGGTTAATGCATTTTATTGCACATAAATATAAACAAAAATATATTTCAACAATATTTTTGTTTTGTTGAGTTCAAAAAGAAAAAAAGAAAAAAAAAGACATTAAGTGAATTTCTTACTGTGATTTTCTCTTTTTCTTCACTACTTCTCTTTTTCTTCTTGGCCTCGGACTGTGGGTGGGAAAGTTTGAAATGAGACCACAGAAAATGGGACATCCTGAAATCTTTAAACTTTACATTTCACAATTCAAATCTTTGCATCTGTACGTGCTGTAAAAGTGAACGCAGAAATTGTAATAATAATAATATTCTTGTTAGTTCCAGATCAGACCTTTAGGTTCAACAGTGCAACTAAGAATTACTAAAATGTTAATGTTGCTTTTGTGAACTTTCTACTTTTACTTACTTGAGCTGTTCCCAAACTGTTTACCGAACTCTGATTTGTCTGATTCAGAAAAGAAGACTAAGAATAAAATTTTGAAATTCTTGCCCCATAACTGTGGAGGAATCTGTGGTCAGGGGGTAGAGGTGAAGTGAGGACATAAGAAATACCGTTGCTTTATTGCAACAGTGACACTGAGGTCAAGATGAAACCAACTGTGTCTTACTGTCCGTTATGCCACTTGTTTGATTTGCAGCTTTTGAGCTGAGCTCACTGTAGAGCTCAGTGTAAACCAGCTGTTAGATATCGGCTGAACATCAACATTAATAAACTGGTACATTGTTTGGTGCACCATAAAAATTAATTTCAAAAGCAGAGATATTCCAAGCTGAATCTGCAGCTGTGACACCAGATCTGAGGATTCTCATTTCTGCTGTTCTTGCACATTGTGCTGCAGAGCTGGAGATTCTTACAGTAGTACTACTACGCAGAATGGCGTTGACCTCACCGAGTCACTATTTAGTTTAGATTTATTTATCAATTGAAATGTAAAAAAATAGAGCTACAGGGTTTAAGAGACATTTGTTTTCTGGAAAGAAGGAGAGTTTATTGAACTGTCCCAGTGGTGTAAAACCTCTGTTCACTCTCTTAATTTTTTTAATTTTATTATCTCTAGTCTCTCCATATTATTTATAATTATTTTATTCTTAGATTTTGTATATATTGTCTTCTTCGACAAGTTTCACTTTAAAGACTTTTTTTTTAGCTCTTACGCACTTCACTGATTTCCAAACAGAAACCCAACAAAACCCAGAAATTCCTAGCATAGTTCACTAATATCAAGGTAATTATTAAAATGTATTACCTTCTCTATTAAGTTAAAAGAGCTATTTCAAAGTTCATAAAAGAAAATACTATCATGTCACACAAAACACATGATTAGCACCACACAAAAGGAACAAGGTTTTAAGATAAAAAAAACCCCCAAAAAACCACATAATGCCACAACTGTTGGCTTATCTTTAAACTACCACATCAATAATTAAAGCAAACATTTGTGCCTTCACTGAAGTAATAGAAAGCTGTAATTCTTTGTTTGATTTTCCCCCAATTTAAACAAAAAGTTGGATTAAAAAAAACCCCACGAAACTCACGCCCTCCTCTCCCTCAGAATCCTCAGATGAATCCGAAGAGGAGTCTCTTTGACTACGCTCAGTTTTCCTCTTCCTCCTACGGCTCTTGTCATCCTAGAGGAACGCAGGTTGGAATGTTAAAATGACAATGTTGCAAAACCAGCCAAATATGATGGTAAAAACACAACAAAGATGCAACAAACGATAACTGTGGGTGAAAGAAAAGACAGTGGTTGCATTCACACACGTCCTACTTGTAACAAAGGTTTCAGGCAGACTATACTTGTACAAATTGACAAATGTTGTGAATGTAGACAATTTAAAAAGATTATAAAATTAAATCGGTTTTACCTTGTCTTTGTCCACTTCTTCCTTGATTTTTTTCTTTTTCTTCATGGAAAAAAAAACATTTCCATCATTATCTGCTCTTTTGTTTTTAAGACAGAATTCAATACAGTAAACACAATACTGGATTTGGTTTGTTTGGTTTGAATATTTGCTCATTTCTGTAAATAAATAATTAAATAGCATACATATCATATAATTCCAATCTTCGAATTACATTGAATTTTGACAAAATTCTACTTCAAACCAAAGATCCAATGATGTTAATCACAACACACACAGACCTTGATTTCCATGTCCGATTCCTCCTCTGAACTTTCCGACGCTCTCCTGGCTGTTGACTTCTTTTTCTTCCATTTCTTCTTCATGCTCTTCTTTTCTTCCTTTACACACAAACACAAAATTAAACTGTGCAGCAGTGCGCTTACGAAACACTGAGCAACATTGGTTGAGCACGTGAGCATTCAGAGGCATCTGTCACAGCAACTAAACTGTTGTAAATTAGCCCTAAATGCTAACTAGATGGTAAGACGTACAACACTGCTCTGTATCGCTAAAAAACCCAAAGTGTTGAAATGTTTGTATGAATTGAAAAAAATTCAACAAACATCAAACTCAAAATCTAAATTTTTCTTGTGGCGCAACAGTTTGTAGACATGCAAACAAAAAATATTCTAAAAAAACACTGATTTGAAGCTATCACAATTATATCAAGACACTGTTTAAGTATCATGACTGAAATCAAAATCCTGCAGTGGTGGGTCACAAAAATGTAAATTGTACACATTACACATTTTAGATAGTCGTACCTCATCTTCAGATTCTGAGGAGGAGCTGCTGGAAGAATCAGAAGTCGATGAAGAGGAGGAAGACGAGGAATGCTTGACCAAAACACAGTGAAAGCAGTGTTCATTAGACAAGAGTTTCTGTGACTGTTCAACACTGATGTTGCACATTTGACAAACGTGCAACTGCAGACTGCCTCACAGACTGCAAACCATTGTTGGTCTGTGTGTATAACACTGGAGGTTTTTCCTCACCCTGTTGGATTTCTTCTTCTCTCGCTTCTTCTTCTACATAAAATGGAACAAGAAACCAGTAAGTGTGGAGTCATTATAAGTGAGAACATCAACACGTATGTTATTTACAACAGACCTCCTTCTTCTCCTTCTTTTCCTGCTTCTCCTTGTCCTTCTCGCTTCCACCCAACAACTTTTCTCGGTTTTTCGCCAGTTCTTTCTTCCATCTCTGAATAATAAAGAAAAAAAATTGAATTTTTGAATTGAAAAGGGTAGGGTCTGTACATCTCCACTCATGTGCCTATTTACAATGCATCAGTGGTATGAACATACCTCATTCATTTTATCCTCAAAGTCAGCCAGGGCTCGAGAACCCTTCTTTTTCTTGTCCAGCTGCTCCTTCAGTTCCTCCCTACAGAAGACAGTTTATAAGGTAATTTAAAATTTAGAAGAAAAAGAATGTCATCACAATTAAGTCAGATGTTATTGTAAAACTGTGTTGCGTTGCATTCCTCCACAAAACATCCATTCAAACATTTACCAAATATATAACACAGATTAACCCTAAACAGTAAAACATAATGAGATTAAAACAACATGACAACAAAAAAGGCACAATTGAAATAAGACACAAAAAGTACATGCAGCTTTTGCTTCTCCGAGACATTTCTTTCAGAAACTATTAGTTTGACAAAAGGTGTGATGGTGTGAATGTAAACACACCATTTAGAAAGAAACAAAACACAGAGTGTTGACAAATTCCGCAGTTCTTTTGAAGTCATGCCATGTTTGCCGTGACCACAAATCACTATGTGCATCACACAAATGACAGCAGCGGAAAATGTAACCTGCCATCAGGTTAAATGTGTACAAGCCAACACTCAATAAACACACAGTGTAATTCAAGGAGTCTCTGGGGAAATATATATATAAATATATATATATATATATTACAATGAAAGACAAAGTACATACAGTAAGTTAAGTCTGCCCCTTACTCACCATGTTGGTCGTGGTCTGCTTAGGTAATCCTGTATAGTAGGTCCAGAGTTTTGTACCGGCCCCCTGGCCCTTGCAGCAGCAATAGGGTTTACATAAGCCTTACAAACCAAACAGATAAATGTGCGTCAAAATCAATAAACTTTTTTTTAAACATATTTTAAACCAGAATTATAACAACAGTCATTACTCAACACTAGTTACTCATGTGGGTTCTCCCTTGCTCTCTGGTGAGTACTGCTCTACAGGGCTGCTAGCATTGGTGGGTTACACCTGCATGATAAAGTTAAGACACCGTTTTGGGCTTTGGGGAATTAAACATTGCGAATAATCGACTATAAGAGCCCCTGTTTCATTTATGACACCAATAAAACAGAAAAAAATTCATATTTCATCACAGGACTTTGTGGTGTATTCTTTGTGACACCATTAATCATAAATCGATGAAGAATTGAGGGAAAACAAAGTAGACCTGTTAACGTGGCAAATAGCTAATACAAACAATTCCGCAAAGACGATGCTGATCTCTCTCGTTCAATAACATTTAATCCCTTTATTATTTCTTCTTGTTTTTAAAATTATACGTGATACCTGAACTGGGCGTAGCTATGACAATAGCTGTGCAACACCGTACGCCAATATTAGAATTTACAACGCTATGCGAGTCTGGGGCTAGCTTTTTGAAGCTAATTTTGACATTGAAATCTGAATATCCAAATACATTGTAAGTCATCTGGGAAAAAAATAAAATATGTTAATCGTATTTATGATTTTTAAGACAGATACAATACAAAAAACCTTTAGTGTGTGCGTAAATGAATCGCTAGCTTCGATGCTAACGTCTCTTTGTGTTTTTAGTTGCCCTTGCTATCGAAAGTAGCCAATGAGCTCCGTATAAAACGTGATTTTATAAGAAGGCTTACCACGCGATTGTCTCTCTTGCCCATTTTAGCTTAATAACGACAGAAATGTACTATCGATTACACAAAAAAAGGTGTAGCATCGCAGACATGTTAACACAACCGCAGGCGCTACTTCTACGGCTGTTTCCACATTCTTCTTCTGCGCTGCTCAGCGTCGGCATGTAATGAAAATCCGTCTCTACTGCCACCTGTTGATTATTTAATAACCTAAATAACCGTTTCAGGTAAATTATTAATTACATAAGTAATTTTTTTCACGTTTAAAAGCCGTGTTATTGTGGTGGTAGGACTACTAAACCGTATAATATTTTGATAAATAATATTGTCTTTATTTACATTATCAAGTTTAATAACTAATAACTAGTAAACAGAGATAATTATTTACTTACCTTACAACTTCTCATTTATACTGGTTTCAACTCAATTTGGATTTATGCTGATTTATTGTTCTGAAAAAAAAAAACCATTGTGATATCTTTTTAAATAACATTTTGTCTTTGTTTGTGAAAACTATCTGGATGCATCTTCAGCGAACTACAGCAACCACCCATTTCCATCGGAACTCTCCTTACCTCCTCTGTGTTTACACTAAACATCCTCATTTTCCTCCATCTCGAAGATCTTTACTGGGACCTTTCACCTTAACTCCTGGCATCTTCCACATGCTGTGCTTTAGATGTGTGACCTCAGATATGTAAAAAAAAAATCACAAACACACTTAACCCAGCCTGGAACTACAAAAATGACAAACAAAAAACCTCAACAATACAATTCATAAAAAGCTGCTTTTTATTCAACTGGTGCAACACAATAATAAGACACCAATGCCTGCATCCATACATGAGTAAAATGCCATGATTGTGGTGTTCCTCATCTCTATTTAATATGTTAAAACAACTGTGACACAGGAGGAACCTGTGTGAAGTGAATTACTACGGTGACTCAAGCTCTCAAGTGACAGCTTCAAAGCTTAACAATGGATTTCAGCTTCATGTTAGAGTAGATTGAAATGCTTTTTTTTTTTTTAGAAAAAAAAAAGATTAACTCATTAGGAAACATTTTCAGTGATTGTATCAAGTGTACTAAGCTTAAGGCAGTCATATTTTAAATTGTAAACCTCTACGCCTAAATTATTTGTAGCTTGGATTTGCATTGAATGCACCACTGGCACCAAATATGAGTTATTATCGATACAAAAATTCACACAGTGCTTAGTCAAGCAAACAGTTATACATGGTTCTACATCAAGTTTGCCATCTAACAGTTAAAACATTTCTGGCAAAACAGTTAATACAGGCAGTTATCTTCAAACAGTAATGTCTACAGTAACATATTTAATTACCAGGAATGACAGTAGACTACGATCGAAGGAGTGATCATTGAACAGCTTGGAAGAAAACCTGAAGGAGTTGTGTTGTTGGTTAGGAGCCCACGGATGTGCAAACTGTGCCCGAGAAGATCCGGACGTCCATAACAAGAACCTGAGAAAGACAGAGTGTGTGTGTACGTGTGCTAGCAGCACTACCTGTTATGTAAATCGTAAACCAGTGTTAAAATATGTTACTGTTCTGCAAGAACTATTACATACAAAAATACAACTCTGCATAACTTGCTTTTTTATCTACTTGCTGGTAAGAACTGATTTTGAACAAAACAGGACAAACTGTAAAATAAAGCAGAAGAAGCTGTACACTCAATGTCTGTGCATCACTTTGTTACAAAAACCACTGTAAAACTGGTAGTCATGCTCCATCAAAAGTCAATTAAAATTTAACAAGCAATTGCCAACAAGAAGCCGCCCAACAATTTTAGAAAAATACTCTCGTCATTCATCGTTTCACCAACCCTCACTTGCTACTCTACGTCTATCCATTGTTACAACATTTCTATGAGCTGACGATGCACAAAGTTTGCTATCATTGCAGCTTGAATTTAGCACTACATGCTGTACAGTACCAATGCCTATCCTTTATACATTCCTTACATTGTCAAACTATCCTTACACAATTTCTATAGTCTAAAAAAGTTGGTGTAATTGGTGTAAGAATATTACATGACCCAGCATTAAAACAAATCAATTAACAACTTGATGATAACAAGCACATAAGACTTGTCAATAAAATTAATATTAAATACACAATGTTGCCTACAATACTACGCCAAATGTTTCATGTTAAGTAGTGCTGGCGGGACCTTTTCCACCTATTGCAAGCCTGTGCATTACTGTATCATTCAAATAGTAAAAGTAATTGTAATTCATAATGATAAAGCCCATGATGGAGACTGAACAGCGAGTCGTAGATACCACGTGGGTGGCAGGAACGTTTCTATTGGGTTCTTTTATCATTGTCTCAGCACCGATATAAGCCCACTGTGACGTCTGAGTCCCTTGAAGAGTGCAGAAACCATTAGAATCCCGCTACTGGTCTGCAGTTACCCAAGACATCCTCAAGGTGGCAGCGATAGAAAAACATACATAAGTGGAATGATAAGTCACAACATGGCAAGGAGTGGTTGAGGGCACTGATGTCTTGTGATGGCGTGACTGTCACAGGCCCAAATGCTGCTTCCATGAAAAATAAAAATAAAATAAAACAAAAATAAAAAAATGCAGACAAGATCCACGTCGTCCACAAACGCTCCTGCCTGATCTGGATCCCCCAGTCCAGAGGGATCCATCTACAAGGGTGAACACTGGTCATTAAGAGGCCTCTGTAGCCTCCACATCCTGACAACAGTCTGAGATGCAAGTCTCTTTGCATTGTTAACACAGTCCATCATTACATTTTCACCTAAAAGCAGCAATTAAAATCCATCAGTTCATGGAGGGAGGATAGCTTTGTGCATTGTTCTGGGAAAAACAACAAAAAAAAAAGAGCAAAAAAAAAACAACAACAAAAAAAGTTGTATCAGACTTCCGGACACTGTTCACGGCCTCATTTTCTGAGCACTGTCCTGTCGTGTTTAAAAACTATTTGCCACTTTAATGTCCTGCTTCTGTGTTCATAACCAACGGTTAGCAAAATTTTACAAACCTTATACAGACTAGAAGATTACAAGGTTTATGTTGAAGTTAAAACAAATGTCTTAACCACCGTATGTTCACAACATGGTCTTAAAATGCATGACCTGAGAGGTTTTCTATTTTCCTTCAATGAGGGAATGTTTTTTCTCTACAAACTATTGATTTGTGACACAAACTGAAACGTTCAGAATAATCAGAGACTAAACTGACCGTTTATCTAGGAATGTTAGTTAAATGTCTGCTTTCTGTTGGCAGTGACTTTACCACTACTATGGCATCTGCTAGATTTTGACATTAGCTCCATTTTTTATATTTGTTTTCCGTTGACATTTAATAATAATCTGTTGATCAGCATAAAAAACACAGTTATGAAGCAGACGGTGAACACAGTGAACTCAGAGAATGAGTCTCTATATTGGATGTGGAGACATAAACAAGGACTATTAGGCAGTCCTTTCCTCCATTGTGGGTTTGTTGCTGGGAATAGGCTGCGCTGCATACACACTCCTACTGTGCACGTCTACACTTTGAAAATAGGGATGGCTCAGCGCAGCGAAAGCTGATATCCGCCTGGAAGGGTTGAAGGCAAGGAATTGCTGCAGGAAGAGGAGGGGAGATGACAATGGAAACATGAACTAATGTAGAAAGTGATTAAAAGTCGAGAAGTGATGGTGGCGTACAGGCCGACAAAGCAAAAAGTACCATTAAGAGAGCACGTCCTTGTTCGTCCATATCCGGAACCAAGTCTTCTATTGGCTTAGGGGGCCGAGGTTTGAAGGCACTCTGTGGCAGGGCCACCTCCTGGGGCCAGTCCTCTACTGAAGGTACACCCACCACACTATGGAAAGTGGATGCTCATTAGTCAAACCTTTTAAAAAACTTTCTATACAGAATTACAAAACACAAATTCAATCTTTGAAGTTTATTTATCAAAGCCTAAATTTGAGTATTTGTTCGTAGATGTGACGTGGTGTTGACATCAAGTCAAAACGCTGCAGCCAATACTTACTCAAAAATCTTTCCCAGCTGATCAACATCTGAGTTCCCTCGAAACAGCGGTCTGGAAAGAGTAAAAAAAAACAACAACAAACCTTTAGTTCCACAGTTGCTCCTTCCTAAGACATGTGGCCAGTAACTATATACAATATATTGCGCTGCAATAAACTTAATGAATATGTTCAAAATACACAGCGGTTGAGAGCGCAGAGCAGGAACTGCGAGGAGAGCGCTAATGCTGGCTACGCCACAGCAAACTGCGGATGAACAGTCTTAAGATATAAGCCCTAGATGCGAAGGGGAATGTGTGAGTCGAATGTGAGTGTTTGAAGTGGCCATGCACTCGCAGCTCTATCTCATGTTCTCAGGATTGTGCAGCAGTGTTGGTAGCTGTGCTGAGGACGGGAGGGAGGGAGGGAGGGAGGGAGGGAGAGGAACAGGGAGGGAGGAGAGCCATGCAGGGCTGCTGGTGGTTCCTGTGGCTTTGGGCCGGCTTTGCTTGCCCGTGGGCGGCCATGCCTGCACCCAGGCATCAGCACGGATTCCAGTTCTCATCATCATCAGCAGCAGTACAGTACAGAAAGAAGTGCAGAGAAAGAAACACATTTGTCCTTTAGGTGCATGTGTGAATTTGTGAAGTTATCAAATGTCAGGTTTTGCTTTCAGAATGACTGTGTTTGGGAAAGTTGGAGGCAGAAGTGTATGAGAGAGCTAGCTTGGAACTATTGTAAAAGAGAATGAGTTATGGGAACCAGAACTTCCTTCTGAGGCTTCTCGAAAGGGAAACGAGGTTATGATGTGTTGCCATGCACTGCAAAAAGGTCTGTTTCATCACATTCAAAACACAAGTGGTCCTCAAGGTAGGATTACGAAACGCAACACATCTGACGGATCTTTTCTTTAAATTCCCATTTGTGTAAGAAGATCAGTCGCCAGCAGATGTCAATGTTATGCAGTAAATATGTGGATGTGCGTGGACGCATGTGTTCACAAACTGTTTTAAAAAGCACTGGATAACAGCTTTTTAAAGAAAATGGGAATTTGCAACTACTGAAAGGCAATTCACAAAATTGGGTACGTGTTGTGCAGTCAGCTGACTTCTGGCCTGTTTCGGGGGTGGTGATTCATATTTTTAGCTTCCCATTCATGCATTAGAAAATAGAGAAGTTTTTTTATTTTCACATTATTACGCAGTATGGTCGGCTTGTTCTCACTTCAGATGGTCTACAGTGATGGAACATAGATGTTATTGTATATGTCGCACTGAGACATGTGTAAAACATTTCCAAGTACATTTTTTTGCTCCACTAATTTGTACGTATCCAGCCTTAATCAAGTCTAAGTGCACCCCCGGTTAAATGGAGTCGGAGGAGGCTGGCTAGTCACCATGTGTTCCCTGTGTTTTGCTGCTTGCAGGAAGCTTTGCATAGCTGAACACCCACACTTTCCTACAGACTCAGACACAGGGATATTAGTCACACGGGGGTATTTTGCACATTTCTGCAGTGACAGGCAGCACCCACTTGCCTCTCACGTGCTTCCACATGTGGCGCTCTGATGAATTTGGTTGTGATTTCCAAAGAAACTGCCCTTGACTGATGGATGTCTTTGTGCTGACGCTGCACCACAGCCCATGACATTTAAATGGAACGACGCAGGTCTTTTGGGGTGAAACCCTGTGCTGAGGGTTTTAAAGATCAGACCAAACCAGTTCTGACTGCTGCAAAGTATGAAAGAAAAAAAAAACCTACAGCAAAGTCATCCTGCCAAAACAAGTAGGCCTGATAATTCCAAGAGGTCCATTTTTAAACCTGGAGCGGTTTGTTGGTCTGTTGGAGGGGCATAACTGGATCCACACAGAGTTGGACATTGGCATAGACACACAGTTTAGTGTGCACAAACACACACGCGGCACATCTACAGGGCTCACAATTAAGCAATGGCGTCCTAGTCCTACCATCCTCGTATGCCGTATATTGGTAAACATTAATGCGCATATATACTGTACACACACAGACAGACATATGTGAGTGAAAGGAGAACTGAGACTTGGTTTTGGACAGGCAGCTGAGGCACGTTTCCTTTAGTGCCAACACAGTTCTGTCGTACATTCCAGAGACCGCCTTTGGAGTGTGTGTGTGCATGCATGTGTGCATGTTTGCACGTGACAGAGTCAATATGTCTGGGTGGGAAATAAAGAGATGGAGAGACACAATGACAATGTGGACATCCAGGTCTTACCCCAGTCTACGTGTACAGTATGAATGGAGCCTGTCCATTCACGGAAAATGTGAGTTAAATTGGAGTCTCTTCTGATGTATCAGCCTAGCTTTACACTGTGAGAGAGTCAACACCTACGTGGAGCCCTTTGTGGACCATTAACGCAAGACGTTCAACCTCTTTGATTGGAGGAATATCAACAAGCAGGCGCTTTCTCTCTCTCTCTCTCTCTCTCTCTCTTCCCATTCACTCAAACCATGAGTCACCCTGACCCTATCCCAGTCATGCAGATGCAGACTTGCATGATATTTGCTCAAATTCCTTTCACAACATTTTCCAAGCTCCTCTTGCTACAGTACATACTCATTAAAAGCATGTTTTCACAATGGCATTTGTTGACTATGAAAGTGGAGAAAGAAAAGGTTTGAGGAGGAGGGGAGGGTGGGGGATGGGGCTTTTGAAGTATAATCATTCATAAGTGTTGTTTTTCCACTTGTTACATTAGGCCTCAGGGTGAACTAGTTGTCACCTTTATTTAGAATCCTGCAATTACAAGCTGCCAGAGAATGTTTTGTCAAATTGCCTTTTTTCCTATGTCAACCTGCATATTTAAAAACTGACAGACAGAAACAGCAGTTACCTCTATACAACAATGACAGCTCTAACCAAACAAAGTAAATCTTTTTTTTGTCTCTTCATCTTCAGTTTCTTGTTCAGCACTTTCCCTCAGTCACTCTTTTGAGTACTTTCTTTCACCGATCTCCCAGGTGCCCTTTAATCTCCAACAGGTGGCCTTTTAAAAAGCCATCGCAACCACCTGCAGAGAGCGAGAGACCTGGGGAGAGCAGGAGAGACAGCCTCTCTCTCTCACACAGAGTGCTTGTTCTGTTGATCGCCATCAAAGGGTTCTGCCTTGTTTCCACCTTAAGGCAAAGTTGGACAGGTGCCAGACTGTGAACGCACACAAACCATTTTACAGCCTATTGTGTCAGGGTGAGAGAAGAGGTACCCTGAGACTCTATTAACACACAGCAGAGACAGTAAATGAAACAGCGCCCCCCCTGTACCCGACCACTTCTGCACATATTGTATACATGTTACTGGTCTTTATGCTACAGTCAGGAGTTGACTGACAGGAGGATACAGTGATGGGTGCAGAGCAGCAGGCAAAGCAGGATGGGAGGAAAATATAAGGATGCAGCAGGAGCAGAGGTTCTGCATGGACATGGACAATGAGCTGAATATGATCTGGACGTGAGAATGGAGTCGCAGCGAGAGGAACAGGGTGAGATACTTTGATGAGCCAATAGAGACGAATGCTATTTCTTTCCAGGTAACTAGACGACATGGACAATGAGCTGAATATGATCTGTCTATCATGAGCATTTGGTCTCTGATCAGACAGTCAATATGTTGCCGTGGGAGGCTTCAACTATCCAAATAACTGCTAAAGAATACAATGTGAATCAGTGATGCTTAACAAGTACCAGAGGGGAAGCAGCAACGAACTTGACCTTCAATACCAGTAAAACATGACGAGTGATAATAAAAAAGTGTGGCTTAATACAGGACAAACACAGCCACTGTCTTGTGTACGACACTATCAGAGTCATGTGTAGCCTTTTCGTTACAGGCTGCTAAATGTAGCTGCAACGCATGACCTGGCTTCACCATTGTTTTATAAAGACATGGCGGGAAAGACAATTTGGTGTAACATGCTTTGCCCATTGGCTGAGCACCACATGCCCAAATACAGTCATAGTAATCCTTCGGGTATATCCAGAAAACAAATTGAAGTGCTCTAATGGTTTTGCACCTGGGTATGTAAATTAGCTTGAAGCAATACTTCTGAACTGACATGAATTATGAATTGTGAATTATTTATGTGAAATTACAATCTCTGCAGCTACTTAATCCACACATTTGTTACTTTGCATTATCTCGGGAGGAAAAGAGATAGAAATAACTCCTGACTGTAGCATATCATTTCGGATCCTCGGACCCCAGTATTTATTTCACCTCCAATGCTTTATTATAATGCACCACTTCTCTTAATTATAACCTACTTCATAATCACATCACCCCATACCATCTTTTAGCTGCTGCAGCCTTTCTTTACCCACTGATCCCTCTGTGCAGAGGGTGGTGGGGGCCTTTGTGTGCCTGTGCCGTTGGGGTGTGAGGACAGTTGAGGAAGGAAGCATAATTTACAGGCGGCGTTGCTCTCTCTGGCATTAGGCCCAGGTTCAGAGAAGCTGTTGCTATCTGTAACTGTAATGCACACCACACGCTGGCTAAAACCCAGCTTTTTGTCAGCATACAAGACGCATTTCTAAACATGCATTGTGGAAGGATACTTGATGGGTTATTAACAGTGACCAGATTCTAAGGAAGGTGACAAAATGTTTCATTGCACCGGGGGAAAAAGTCTTCTTTCCTTGAATACACCAGCAGTCTGTGGCTTTTTTGGCCTGGCTTTGCAGCACACAGGGTTCGTTAGACCACAAACTGACATAGAGCTAGACCAAGAAGCAGAATCTTGACTTGAACACTGCGACCTCAGAAGGCAGCTTGTCATTACTGGATTGGTTTGATAAGGCAACCGAAAAAAGTGATTCTTCAATAGTCACAAGGCATCTGACAGGTGTCATTTAAGGAAACACCCGAGTAACTGATTCTGTCATAGAGACAGTTGGGGTGATTTCTGAAAGGAGGAAAAGTAGTGAGACATGGTGAAATCAAATATAAAAAACCCCCCACTTCTATATGTATCTAACAAGTCCACCTCCAGGTTAAGACGCGGAACAGAACAAACCCATGAAAAGTAAGAGGAGAAACAACAAGGTAACTAAGTGAAGTTGATTATTGAACACTATATCAACACAACACAGAAGCTACTTTCAACACCAGATGGCTTTTACAGATTTCTGGTAATGGAGGTGCGGTCACCTAAGGACTGTATGTGTGTAAAGTTGAAGCCGAGTGAAGAGCAAGATCGTTGTCCTGATGGTGTTTTACTGTCTCCATGCAACACAAAAGGGCGAAAGGGAGTTCATTAAGCAATTTCAGTCACACTTCCTGTCCATTAAAGGTGTAAGCTAACCTCTTTATATTCCACATGTCTACTCCCTGACAGGTTGATTGTTGATGACATATGACAATTCTTGTCTATTGGCCAATGAAAAGTGTAGTCTCACAATTAGGAAACCATGAAATTATAATTCAAGGATTCTTCAAGAAAATCAAGCACCCTTGAGATGATTGTATGTCACATATAGAAAGAGAGACAATATGAAATCAGAGAAGAACCTGAAGATATTTGGTATATTGGTATAATATTTAAATCTGCAGGATACTGTATTTTTACCAGGTTCAAACACCTGGCATTAGCTGCCCGATCAAGATTTTCTTCAACCCTTATATATCTTCTCCTCTTATACAATACATTAAATCAATTTGGATTCCCTGATCTGACGTGACAGGTTTTAAAGTAAGTACTACTGAACTGTTTCTGTCTGACATTATAGACATTTTAGTGTTGCTTTCACTCACCTTCTCCTGAACATCTCAGCAAAAATGCAGCCCACACTCCACAGGTCCACGGGCGTGGCATAACTGGACTGCAGGAGCACTTCTGGGGCTCGGTACCAAAGTGTCACCACCTGCAACACACACAGCAGACATGTACAGACATAAGATTATTAAAGGTCTCCACACACAGAGTTAACGCTGTCCTCATCTTAGCCTCACGTCAGACATGGAATCATATCTGGCAGAAGAAAATGTGTGACACACAACACTGTACCTGCATCTACAGTACATGAAGGACATGGTTTGACTTTTGTATGAATAATCTGCAATAAACTGCTGAATTAAAGCTGTCTTTGAACAAACCTTAGGCACAAAGGCAGCCATTTTGTGCCATTTTCTACTGTACATGGCTTTAAAATGTGTCGCTGTAACTCTCCTGGAAGCACTGCTGTATGTGTGTAGCGCAGCGGCAGCAGCAGCAGCAGCAGCAGCATTGTTGAGAGCTACAGTAGGGAAAAGCTCCAGACAAAACTCAGTGACCCCTGGTAAGAGAGTGGACTGATTCCAGGTGCTTTCCTAAACTGCAGATTTTTCCAGCAGCTCTTGGCTGCAGTCGCCCCTTAAGGAACTGCAGAGTGCTTATCGGGATCTGAGAGTCAGGGGTGAATGTTTGTAAGCAAAAAGAGTGCAGCGTTATGGAGATATCTTTATTAGCTTTGCTAGGACTCGACGTAGAATTATGGGGAACGATGCCCTGATTAAATATTACCAAGCAGCGCTTCTGGGTAGGACGAGAGCAAAAACCCTCTGAGGATGAATATGGCCAAGTATGAACTATTAAAGAGTGACGCTTATGAACTCAAGTGCCCCCTGAGAAGACAGCACTCCTCTAACTTTATGGCTCACAGACTTTTGGACAAGGCTTAGTTCACTTGGGGAGGTTGATGACTTCAGTATTACATTTGTTGATTTCACTCTGGTTCCTCTCAACATGGCCCCTCAGATTAACCCATTAGCCACTGTTTCCTTCAAGGGCTCTACATCACCTGCCCTACTTTCTACCCACCTAAGAGTAATGGTGAACTTACGCCCCAAAATATATATATATATTTTTTTTTATCTAAAAAAAAAAATACCCAAAGGTCACCACGACAAATCTGTCCTCATGATTTGACATCTTTGAGAGTGCCATCATTTCTATGGTATTCTCCACTGTGTTAATCTTGCATACATTTATGCACAACCTTGCTTTTATTGGGGGACCTGGTTATCACATGTTGTGTTTAATAAATTTGTCGTATCTCTTGATCACAAAAAGGTCACAAAAAACACCTTTATTCTGAAACATCATAATTCCTACACCAAAAATAAAATAAAATCTTTTCAAATACAGTGTGACTTAACTGTGTGAATTATTATTTTGTCCTGCCTTTACTCCTTTGCCTGCAGTGATGTTCAAATAAAATAGTGTTTTATTAACGGTAAAAGAGATGTATACAATTTATTGCAACCATTTAATAGATCCCTTCATTATATTCTCTACTCCTCAGCTTCCTGGTCAACAACGAGTTAAGTTATCAGGCTTCAAGACAATATTTTATTACCCACCTGCTCCACAGTTCAACACAGAAAGGGTTTATTCATAAGAGAGGAAGTCACTGATGTCTGCGGCAGATCTTCAATCTGATCAAATGTTACACTGAGCTGTAATTCTTTAGCAAAACTGGTCGACCGATACTGATAAGGGGGAAAAAGTTCAGTCACATTTCTTTTCTTCTAGGCTGAATGACGTTATTAATAGAGCTGGGGGGTTCTGCAGATGTGTGACACTTTCTCATCCTCTTCTTCCTGCTTTAGTGGAAACAGGGAGGAAGTTGAAGCTAGCTGGCTGAGATGTGTCGAGCCATGTGACCAGAAATGACACACACTCACACACACACACTCAGAATGAACAGAGCCACTGTTTGGATTGCTGGAGATTTTTAGAACAGAGAAACCTCAAAGAAAAACATGAATGGAAGTTGTATGGTTGCCCTTGTAGTCAGGCAGCAGAATGCGTCATTCATTAATTTCAACACAGGAACCGTTAAGGGGACATAGCTTTCACATTTTTGTATTGATTATTTTCCAGGACTAAAATTACGATAAAAATACAAGCACATCCTGTCAGAATCCCAGATGTTTGCAAATGAGGCCGCTGCACATACAACGTTCATCTGTGTGTCATATGTAAGGTTCATATAAAATGTGACAGCAGTTAAAAGGACTGCAGCGCTGCAAAGTAAAAGGCCAGGGGTTGCACCAATGCATGCTCACAGATATCTTTCTAGGAAGAACCACAGACTTAGAGCTCGAGGTATATCCGTTATACAAAAACGCAGCCACAACTGCAAGTTATAGCAGGTATATCAAACATGCACATTCATGCAGACACGCGCAAAGGAAGACAGCTGCAAAAATGTTCACTGAAATCTAAAATTAACACAGACAACTTACACTGCGTGTAGACCCCATGTGATGCAGCCACACGGTGGGATGTCAGAATAGAGAAGAAACAGAAATTACTTCTCACGTTTCCTCTCTTTCATTTTGGAACTGAGGACAGTAATTATACAAGAGAAATTTGTGACACTGAGAACTAATAGTTGCCAACACATACCTGAAACACAAATTGCTTCTCAGGGGACTATTATTCTTCCTTTGACCTAGACCTTAAGACTTGACCTTGACCTAAGAGATCTTTCCAGAAGCACCTAACATCTACAGGGCAGTGGTGCGAATGCATGTTTAAATATTTTTAACTTACTGTATGCAGAGCCATTTGCCATGTCTATTAAACTTTCAACATAGACTCACTTTACATTAAATCATTCATTCCTCTGCCTCACATTCTCTGTTTATGAAGAGTTGCACAGTATCCTGCTCCTGTTCATTCCCAGTTCTGTCAGCAATGGTTTCCACTCAGCGAGGCTGCTAACCCTCCTCCCTGTCTCCTGCAGACGCTCGACCCTACTCTACAAAACGATTTTAATAGTTGTTTTAAACAATCTTTCCTGCTCTGTTTGTCTGAAGGGAGTCTGTAAAACACATATGTCTGAGACACACTCAGGTCTACATGTAGTCTGGTATATCCATGTAAAGTGCTGTTTGAGCACTTTCACACAGTCCATAAACATCAAAGGGTCACATCTGGTAAATTAAATATCCCAAAAAAAATCCCACCAACAAAAGACCATGTTCCAAGGCATAGCCTCGCCATTCAACTTGCTAACCATTCACAAAGACATGATAACAACCCCGATATAAAAAGAAAAAGGACATGCTCCAATTGCAGTGTTGCCTTTTCAGTCCTTTCCCTTCCTCTTCTTCTAACCACATTTGCATTCCTTCTTTTTTAGCCTCTCTTTCTCTCTCACCCTTCTAATTCTCTGTTCTGCTTCACATATCCTTTCATTACCCTCCCGTCTTCCTCCTCTGTCCGGCCTGCATGAAAGCAGAGATACAGACTCATAGCAAATGTTGGACACTCGTGCTGAGACAGTGAGTCAGCCTTCAACTGTGCAACAGTTTTTTTTTCTTCTTAGGTCAGCTGCTTTGCATTTCCAGTCCGTCTTTCCGCTTTCCAGCCACTTCTTCCCCTCTTAATGGCAACAGAAAAGCCGGAGGTGGTCAGATAAAGACAGGCCAGGCAAAAAGTCAGGGAGTGAGAGTTAGACTGGGAGACAGAGTGTGAGAGGCTGACTCTAGATTAAAGGACAACATTCTTGGAATTCCTTTCTGCTGAGAGCACCCTCCCCCTCACCCTCACCACCATCATCCTCTGCAGCCCCCATGCTCTCCTCCCTTTTCTGCTTGGGGGAGGAAATGGCTTGTCCCAGCCCGGAGGACCTTTGGACCTCCTGGGATGGACCTCCAAGCCTGTCTGACATGCAGCATCCGGAACTGAGCCACCGGCGCTCCGTGCATGCAATGTGGTTTCGGTATGACAACAGTGGACATGCTTGCAAGCGTGGGTGTCTGAATGACTGCTCGTGTTTGTGAGAGCACCTGCTGCATTGATGAATGTACTTAGCGGCCAAGTGTGTCAATGAAGGCAAGTTATCTGCAGCATGCGTTTGATGATACCAGCAATGAATCAACATCTAATGAGCCCAAAATAATCTAATGTCACAGTAATGAAATATAGTTTCTCAGTACAGGGCTTATTAAACTTATTATTATTAAATCTAGTCATCCTTTTCCTCACAAACACTTTTCTGTCACTCCGTATCTGGACCTTCATCGTGACCTGACACCACGTGAGTGACTGAGGCGAGGCCTGAGCGCTGCAGCACCGGAGGCACTGAGCTTGGCCTGTGGCCTGTGTTTACATTTTCTCTCACTGAAGAAGCCCAGGATAAAAGAGCAGCGATGCAGACACGCACCTTCTACGCACACACGCACAGACCAGCGTTGTGGCTGCATCACAGGCCAGGTCGCTTTTGTAATCAAATGAATAAAAGCATGATTGGAAGTGGAAGGTTTAAAAAGGCAAGTGGATAAAAAGCAACAAACTAAGTGTTGTAAATACTCGCAGGTAAATGCTCTGTCTGTGTCTGTCGCAAGAAAAAAATGCCAACAATCCTGAAACAGCAGTAATCAGCAGTAATTAAAGTCTTCTCAAGAGAATCTCAGAGGAAAAGGGGATTGAAGGCCACTAAGTGTATAGGCAGAACACGTATGGGAGATGCAGCGGATGTTGTAGCAATAATTTGAGTAACTTGGCACTTGCAAAGTGCATTGAAGCTGGGGCTGTGATGTTGTCGTCTCCTGAGAGGCCCACTTACAAGGCCCACAGCAGGCCATGTTGTAAACACCATTATTCCTATGCTCCCTCACTTTCTCTCACTTTTCTTTTTACACTTCATGACAATTCATAGCTGCAACAATGGCCTTGCACGTGGCAAAGAAAGGAAATAAATACAAAGGAGAAGGAGGGACAGGGTATATGATATATGTAGATATATGTACAAGGATGAGAGTCAAAGAGGCAGAGAGAGGGAGGGAGGAAGGGAGCTGCAGTTCCAGAGAAAAGTGCAAGAACAGCACACAAACTGTATACAGTAAAACAGAAAAAAAGGGGCACCACAAC